TCTAGAGACGTTTTTACTTACATTATCGGCACTGTCTTGACTCTTGACTATAACGTAAAGGACAAAAGAGTTCGGGATTTTTAAGACACATTTTTTTATTTTTCTTACTCTTTTACTTATTTTTTTTTGTCTCTCTCTCTTATAAGGCATATTCAAACAATCATCCCCTGGCCCTCATAAAGTGTTTTAATATTAACAATGCGTTTGAGACAAAGATAAATAAATAGCAGTTGCGAAGTTTTTAAAACGTGTGTTTGGTATTCATCTAAAATTCTAAATATTGCGAGCTAAATCGAAATATCATTTATTAATAGATACGCTTTTTTTTAGTTATTGCTGTAAAAAAACCATAGTGCCTGAAGGGCTACACCACAGTACAAATTTTAAATTACACAATTATTACAAAAAACGAAACGAAAACAAACGAACAGAGAGAAAAAATTACATTTTTATATCTTATACATAATATTACATCTATCTTAAATTTATGGTGCCAACTGCCAAGCAATTACATCCCAGGTTGGTCAAATACTTATGAACGTCACTTTGATAATCGGCAATCGTTTTAATAAGAACGAACAAGCGAATTTAATCTTTATACTAAGTATTGGAAAAGGGTCTAAAATCAATTCTGTTCGACTTACGGCAAATCACACTTTATGTCGACCATATTCTAATTTTTATCTAGTGACAATTTCGCTTTGGGTACTGTCAAATGTGTCAAACTTTACACAGAAAAAATGGTTTGTTAAACTTGGTCTTGAAACCAGATTTGATTGACTTTCACAAATAACTCTCTTCTAATTTTATGGTTCCGAATAGTTTGAGTTACACTCCAAGGCACACTTATAATTTGCATTATCTTGAGAAATTATTAAAATTACAATTCAAGTCAGGACAATAAGTTCTCAGAGACGTCAAATTTAATTAATGGGAAAATTTTAAAGTATGACTTTCTAAAAATTCCGCTTAATTTCACCTAAACAATAGAGTTTACAGAAATTTATCTGATAATTAAATTAACGTCACTGAAGTTGCTGATATTTTTAGCTAACTAATAATTTCGGTTTGATTTCGGCGTACAAAAACTTTTTTGACGTGTACCATAAAGAATCAGCGCACGTACTCAGTTCAGTAACTTCCAATAGCGACAGCGATTCTGACGTTTTTGTATGTCATTTCGTTGTATTCTCAATATCCGTAACTCTGATTTCGCAGTTTTGGGATCGCAGGAACAAAAATTCGTTTTATATAATTTTAAATTATTTAGATCGGAATCGCTGTTTTAAATTTGCAACAAATATATCTGAGTAGCAATATTTTGGCAAAGAATATTTTGTTAATTTCGAACTGACTCTCCTATCAAAATTATGATCGTTTGACGGACGGAAGACTTAGTTCGCAGTTAGACACGTCTCTGAGACTTGGCTAGGTTTATACTTTTTGGCAGTATAGTATGCATGAATATTGAAAGATGTTATGACATCGGTTCAATTAAATGAAGTTAAGTCCCGCTACGGCTCGGACGAACATCCTCCATTAATAGTTAGGTATGGTTTTACTTTCAGCTATTTTTACGCTTTGCGGACTTCATCGCTATTAAATTATATTTTTAAACGCATGCTACTAGTTCAATCAATTTGTAATATCATTGTATTCGGAATGTTTTTTTTATAGAATAGAATAGTTTTCGAAACTCGTGTTCAAATTGTATCTACATCATAAATGAAAGGTGCAGGAGGTTAAGTGACAGTGCCGCCCTCAGACATCTCAACGACAAAGGGCGAGTGCGTTTCCGGCCTTTTAAGAATTGGTACGCTCTTTTCTTGAAGGACTAAGCCGAATTGGTTCGGAAATACTTCCACAGAACGTTGTCTTAATAGCTACCAATAATTTTTTTATATAATAACTTTAAATCGACAATGCTCACGACTACTTAAAAATACTTTTTTGCTAACGATGCAAAAAATTTTTACAAGTTTCCTTATTCAAAATTACTTTAATGAAATAAGTGTATCGTGGTATTTTAATCCAAAGTTTAATTAGGACTGACTTATTATTTATATATTAAGAATATTTGTTATTGTATACCTACATAAATCTTATGTATATATATAACATATTTAAAATATATTTCAATGTTTTTAATAAATCGCTGTAACTATAACCACACCAAACTTCTAAATATGGTTCCCCAATTGGATACCCGATTAGAAGGGATAAATTTTTATGTAAAATAAACTCTAAACCTATACCCTTACAGTGTAAATTCTAATGTTTGTATTCATTCATTAACCAGCAAATGCAAAAGATTTGGGGAAGCCATTTACAAAATTCGCGCAACTCATTTAAATTCGACATTAATGGTATATGTTCTGCTGCTTAGCATTAATATAGAGTTAAAATATACATGGGATTATAATTTATTACAACCCCAAAGGTTGTCTCAAGGAGTTTTTATTATTATCATAACTATATTATAGCTATACGTAGAAGAAAGAAAACTTGATATTATTGAATAAATAATTACTCACAGTTTTCCTAGGTCTAATAGTTTTATTTCTTTCAATGTATGGGAGCCGTTTCTCTACATAACCTCAAAAAAACGCTGTGATAAGCGCACAAATGCACCTGCCCCATGCGCACATTTACACGACCAAAGCTTTTAAAGCTTGAATTAATTATTTATCGCATTAAAAGTTATATTTATAGCTGTTAAATAAGCTTCACTTAACGCGAAATATAAAAAACCTGTTCTTGTAAAATTCGCAAAAGCGTTTAATTAAGTTAAGATTCAAAAAATGGCTCAATTTCACTAAATTATCATTTAAGCCTTCAATTTGAACTCCAGAACGCCCTTAACCTGTGTCATCGGCTAGCCTCAAGTGCGAATAAAATCATTTTGACATTAATCGACAGTTAAACGCCCATTAAGGGCATACACTTACTGTCACTGTCAGTTCACTGACAGCTGATCAATCACAGGAAACTTTTTATTAACCCTGAATATGTTTTTTTACCAGGAAGTGACTTTTTAGGTATGTAGTATGTACATTGTAAACTTGTATTAATAGGTCTTACCATAGCTCTAGTTTAGTCAAAATGGATAAAATTATTTGTTTTATCATGTTATATTTTTTAAATATGTCTTTAATCTGATTTGACCATTAAAAATATTTTTTATATATCACTTATATTCCTTTTGTTTTAAACATGCTTCATGTACCATGGAAGAGAGCCTAGACACCCACAACACAGGGGCTCCCTAGTATAGGGACTATCGTCATATCCATTTTCTCACCACCATATTTTGTTATGAATTTATTACTATTATTTATTTCTTTGTTATTTATCACGTGATGTGATACTAATTAGTAATCCTGTGTCTGTCTTCTACTTCGGCGCAAGATTCTTCTAAAGCATTAATATTCATATCTATATGGATAAATGTTTCGTTCAGTTGTCAAATGTCAAGTTACGCTCCCAACTTGTCAATCAACGTCAACAATAGCGAACATAGAAGTTTGACAAAGATAAAGGTATCCTCCACCCATTACATCGAAACTCGTGTTCAAATTGTATCTACATCATAAATAATTAAAATTCTATGGGACAATGACAATAACAATTTACATTCTGCATTGACATTGACAGCTGCCACAGACAAAACAGTAAAGTTCAAAGACTCCATTTCCATTATTCATCAGTAATTAAAGGAAAACAGATGAAGTCTGTTAATATCATTTGCAAGACGCGATGAAATGTCAATTATGGTTTAAATTAAATGAGGGAATACAAAATGAAAAGCATTTTGGTGTAAACAAGTTGTTATCAGCGAGACTTCATAATTATTGCGAGCATAAAGTTCAATGATTATGATACCTATATACATATCACGTTCTACACTGTGGAAAGATATGCGCAGGTCTCGTAGTTATGAGATCAGAAAAATTACTAATATCTTATTAGTTTTTTTTATTGGATAGGGGTAAGCGAGCCTACAGGACAGCCATTTTAGTAGGAGATTTACGAAAATAATAGTTATTAAACTTTGTTATGTTTAAACATACGAATAGCATAAAATTGTGCGTCAGTCTGGTTATTCTAGATTTTTTAGACTGTCATGTACAACATTGCGTTTGTAAGGTAATCGAAAGAATTGTACTTGACTATCAAAATTCAAAACATACTTAATCCTGATGTTTTAATCTATTTCTTAATTAAGAACTTTAGTTTTACTTTTTTGTACATGTAAGAAGTTAGAGTAGGTCTATACGGTAACGACCTAGAAAGGTAATCAAGTTGACATTCCGGTGATTTCCGCACGGATATGTTGCGCATGCGTAAAGGTCGTCATTTCGATAAATACTATTTTTACGATCACTTTCGTCTGGCGTGAACGCCTTTTTTGTGTAACCGGCGTCAAGATTTTGTTTACATTCTTGTAACATTTAAACGCTACTTATAAACATTTAATGTATAATATATATTCTACTTTGTAATAATTTCTATGGTATTAAAAAACTATTTAAATCGAATATTCTTTTATGATATTTCAGTGTTAAAGTGTGTTTAATAAAACTTTTAAATGAATTGAAGTTTATAAAAGGGTTTTATTTAACCAATAATAGAAACTAAACCAAGGCTTTTATCACAAAAAGAGACTACAATATATGTAGTTGATAAAATAGCAACTTTTCATATTGATGCAGGTCCTGTCATGATATATGGAGCAAAACAAGATACCTAATAAAATCTTAACGAGTGAAACTGTTCCGTAACACAAACACAAGGTATAATAATAAGTTTGAATAAAGTTATCCGTGTAACATGTTCTAGAACGCATCTCAATATAATAATGTAATGTATTTCATCTTTTATGTTTTTTATCGTGTGTTTACGTTTCCGTATAATACATAAATAGTACGAGTTTTAAATCCAGTCAATTGAATACAATAGCCAAATATTGCCATAATCTAATTCAAAAACTTCGAGCTTCCTTACATTGTTGCCATGCTTAAAATTCTAAACGCCTCATGGGAATTGGATTCAGGAATCGGTGAGAACGTGTCATATTCTTGCCAATTGTTTACTTCGTTCAATAAAAGGAACAAATAATCAAGACATAATATTGTCTGTAATATAAAATCATTATTATTAACTATACGTTAGAGATAATTATTTAAAATATGATTAATGATTACAAGATTATGTTTAAAATATAATTTTCCATAAACACAATTATTGGCTTGTCACTTGTAGGCTCGAAAATTTAATGCCATCCTTACGGTAATTATTGTCAAACGTCATCAAACGTGCGCATCTATATAGAGCATAGACTGGAAACGTATAGATTATAGAACAATCGATTACGCGAGCTCCGTAGAATGGGCGCGGTTTCGCGAAACATTAGGACGTGACGTCACGCCTCACTGACAAGTACGAGGTTTGCATTTCAATTGATGTTATTTGGTACGTTTGGATCTAAAGTTCGGATACATTTTAATTCGCATCGCTTGATACATTCCAAGTAGTATGTAACAATTGCGATGATAAAACATACGTGAATTGGAGTCAAATCTAGTCTTAAAATCTGTCAAACCATGACTTTCATAACAACAAAATTTATACCAAAATAACAAACATAAGTGACAAACTAGTCCCACATATGGAGATACTATGTTGGGTAACTAGTTTGGTGATATCTTTAGTTTTGATTAAATTTGAGCATTTAAAACTTCTAATATTTTATTAAATATATAACTTTACATGATCAGAAAATAAATAGTGATTATATACCCCTGTGCCTTATAAAGACGAAACATGTTTCTATATGTATATTCCAATTAATCCGCGCCCTCATAAAAAGCTTTTAGTATAAACAAAAGAAAAACAATGCATAAGCCACCTGCGCCGGCGCCTCCGCCCTCGCTAATAATCGCTATCGACCAAGGACAACGCGCAGCTTATCCTACTTTTGGTTTCTCACAACCACATCATAAAATTTAAATAATTGTAGTATTCTATTCAATATTAAAAGACTAATAAAAGTCAATATTCTCAATATTCAACTATTGTAATAATGATATTAGCGATACCTTTAGACGTTGAACACACGTTTAAAATACAAAAACTTAAAAAAAAATCATTAATCTAAACCACTTGGATCATTAATCTACACACCAAAAATTTCATGAAATTCGGTCCAGCTAATTACAAGACTAGCACAGAAGTTTTATATGTATGTATGTTATAATTATTAAATATCTATTTTATATTATTAACAATACATTTTTAATTTAACTGTACTTCTGATAAGTAAATTTTTCATAGTATATATATTTTTATTTTCAACATTGTACTAATAAAACGCGTTTTAATATTGTATAATGTGTTTTTAAAATGTATGCTACTCTTGTGAATTAAAATCAATAACACTGTGTAAATTTAATAAACAAATAAACCTCGACTATTCAATAATCATACAGTAAGCTTTATAAATGTCACCTGATTGTCTTGAATTGCATTTTATTTTAAAACTGCGTCAAATAAATTTTGCAAAATAACGTTATTTTTCTACGCTCCATTTATTAATAAAGAGTTAATGTGTTTCAGTTTTCACGCTTTATTCCTATAGGCATACGAAAAATATTATTAGTACCGATACAGCCCGCTGTTGAAAACTCCACCTAGCTCACCTACATTTTTAAACTCTCATTATCTTCTAATTATCAATCAATGCAGATGCGCTCGCATTCAGCATTCCAAATAATACTCAAGCACCCAAATTGACTTGACCTCTTTAACAGTTAAATGGTAAAAATAGACAAAGTGACGTTCTTGCGACAACCGCTAATGACAACTTGCGACATTGACAAGGCTGTGTTACGTCACATAGGACGAATATTATAAGCCTATGGTAAGTTTTGGAAAATGTTCTTAAATCAAATCATAATTTACACGGAACCATAAGCACAGCACAATATTTTTGACAGCGATGTTTACACTTGACATAAATATTTTTGCCTCCATTTGCTGTTATACGAATCAAAATATGATTGAAATATGTTTAATAACGTACAATTTATAAAAATATCTATAATATAGAATAAAAGTTTATATAAAGATATAGAATAAATCTACTATTTAGTAATCAACGGTTTTTCCCAGATTTTCGCGGTGTTTGAAAGTGTAACGCCCAATGATTCAGTATAGTTTTAAGAAAGTGAGTCAATGTACACTTTTACAGACTATCTAACGAGGAAATTCTTAATGGCATATCTTATTTCCGAATTAGTCACGTTTAAAATAAAACACTGGATTTCATAGCATACTCATATACGATACTAAAGAAAAAAACGGTCACTTGTCGACATATTTGACGGCAATATTTAAAAAAAAAAACCAAGATGGGATCGATATACATTATGTCATTTTATGATTTTATAAAGACCGTAGCATGTAATTTAAATCGTTTGTTTGTAATGATATAAATACTTTTTTTTTAAACAAAAGGTAATCTTGTCGAAGCCATAACAAACTAAAACTTCGTTGACAAGCTTAAACCTCCAACCCAAACACCAAAGTCTTAATGGTAGGGGCAAACCATTGAATAAAAAAAATAGTCATGAGCCGTCTAATACAGTTTTACCTATGTTTTTACACAAGTTAGTATCACCGTATAGACTAAACACAAAACCTCAAACAATTATTTGTTGTCTTTGACATCGCTAGATTAATTTTCTGTTAAAGCCGTTCAACTTGAATCATTATAATTTCGCGCCAAATTATTGTTGACAAAATTTAAATAATGCAAGCAAACATGATAAAAAAGAAATGGTTCCGGATTTGAATAATGTCAAGTGGTTATCACGTTCATATCGATATTTTATTGGCCTCTTTCGATAGCTCTTATCGCGATACGATAAGCATGTTATTTTACTTTTGATCAATGTATCGCCGCGCTGGCTGGCTTATAAATCGTAGGTTTTGTACGAAAAACGCTTTTCCCGCGTAGCTAATTAAAATCACACCAGAAGCCTTCATCCGGTCAGATAAACTATTGCGCCATTGACATTGAATGAATGAATTAATAAAATTATTTTAAGATTAGGCCTAGTTTCGCAACGGATCGTGACATTTCTTATGTATCGACTGGTATCGCGCGTGTACACATTTGTTTTATCATATTGTGCAAAGGTCATACTATCCGCACTCAGATTTTAGGTCATGCACCAATCATATGAACGCTACTGGACGTGGTTTTTCGTTATGTTGATAAAAATATGCATCCTTATTAAGCTCAGTCGACTGATTCATTCTTAAAAGATGGGTACTTGGCAAACACCAGCATTAGCACACATAAAAGAAATATTTTAAGAAATTTAGCGTTACAAACTATGTATCTGTCTATGTTTTATGCGGGACGTTACCATGGCAACGACCCGTTAAAACGTACCAACCTTTTTTAACAAACCAGCTTTATTAAATTGGTAAAAACGTGCTTATATTATAATTATTATAAAGGATAAATTTAATTTCATATTTTTGTACACGGTAATATCAAAATCGTGACAAGAAACTTTTTAATTAACTGTAACAGCAATGGAACCCAACTGCTTTAATAATTGTATCATAGACCTCAATGACCTCGTACTTTTGACAGATTCTGTCATTTGATCACGCCTTGATTTTAACTAATAAAATAATGGACAATTCCGAGAATACAGCAGCGCCAGGATTTGTCAATCAAAATTAATGCAAATTCCTCTGTTTCTGTAATACACGAAAACTTAAACTCAAATTATTATATATTTATTTAATCTAACACGGGTCCCGATTCGATTTTTTCAGTACATGCGAATTTATTAGATTATTTAGTTTCCTCAAAACGCTTTACCAAGCTTGTGATTAGCGAGAGTTAATAATGAAATCAATTTTAAAATTCTTTTTTTTAAACTTGTATTATTATTTATTCTTCATGGTATGCTATACCTTGAAAAATAATGATTGAGTTAATCATTAAATTATCTCTATTTGTGAATTGTTGTCTTAGGTGTACGGAAGGTCTGCTATTTAATTTTATTATTTAAAAATAATTGACTATGGTGCGATAATGGTGTGTGTGGATTTATGTAGTTGTTATGCTTTTAATATATTTTAAGGTAAACAACATGACGCTACTATCATTTACGTAAATTGCAATGTCACAATATATTTCCAATTACGTAAAACAGGTAAAAGTTATACAAAATGATTCAGCGCTATTCAAGAGCTATTATCCTCGAAGATTTATTTAGCCTTGTTCCCGCTAACTAAATATTTGATGCTCTAAGCGTGAGAGCTTAATATTTTATGAATATTTTTGTTGTGTCTTCTTGATGAGTAGGTGATAAGCCTATACCAAAAATCGGTTACAATTATCCAATCACTACCTGAGGCTCAGTGTCAGTGGCGGATTTACCAGCAGGCTGAATAGGCTGGAGCCTATTGCGGCAAATTTTAAGGGGCGGCAAATTTAGTTCATAAATGTTTTATTTCGGTTTACAAATTTAAAAAAAAAATTATTATACACACACAATACGAATTTCGAAAATTGGAGAGAAATTAAAATATTTAACAAAAATCTAAATATTCTCATATACAGTGCTAATTAATAACTATTTCAACATCTCTGCATGAACAATTCCTAAACGCTTTACTAATTATACATTAATGATTATGAACTATACTTAGTAATATAAGTTCATAATCATTATATAACTTATATATTTAGAATATCGCGATTCGATATTATAATCGAAATTTAGTAATTTTTACATATATTCTTTACTGATAACTGCTATAATTTTTTCTCCGTGTACCTAATAATTATGAGATCTGCTTACCCAATTCAATCGATATAATATCGATGGTCTAATAAAAATACTGACTAAAATTGACTAATTTTTAATAAATAAAAAACTAGTTCAATATCTTATAGAGATCATATTAATCAAATAACTGATAGTTGAACGACTGTGACTTGACAATAAAAAAATTCCCTCCACAAAATATGAAGTGAGACAATTTGCTCATTAGAAAATTGATACATTTTATCAGTTAATTATTTTATTTGCAGTAAGAAAAAGTTTGGAAAATCCAAATGAGCAGGCCTTAAGCGCTCATGTCGTACACGAATTATTTAAATTAAATGTTTACATCAGTAGATTTGATAACTTTTTCGCAAAGCCAACTTTTTCAGAAAATGCCAATCGGAATGAATTAATTATAATAAGATAAAACAATACTCAGCTGCAATTTTTATTCAACGGCTTCTCTCCAGTTAAACAAGTATATTAAAAAAAATTGAAGTGAAAAAATTATTTTTTCGAAAGTTATCGTGTTTACTGTGAACACGATCATCCAAAATCCATACGATATGGCATTAAAATTACTTCCTTTTAAATAAAAAATAATTAATCATAACCGAAAAAAATAATTTTTATAAGCTCAGCGATCATTTTTCTTTCCGATAAGTTGCTTTTTAAATAATATTCATGTACATCATATTTGTTAGGTACGGTTTAATGTGAGAAAACATCGGATTTAGATTTTTAGGCAAGAGTAGAGCATACCTACTACGCGCTTCGCACTTAAGGCATGCAATTGCGTAGTCGTATTTGTATTGTACGGCCAGAACAAACGACATGACGATTCGGTAAGAGTGTCTGGCTGAATGGATAGCACAAGTGCAGCGCGATAGGGTTACTACGTACGAAGCGGGCTCCTGATGTATAAAAAAGTTATAAAGTTGGAATTTTATTGATAGAAAATTGATATGATTGTGGACTAAGATATCAAAATTTAGAGGCGGCAAAAATTGAATAGCCTACGGGCGGCAAATCTATAAATCCGCCACTGCTCAGTGTGGCGGGTTATTCTTCAATATAAGTCAGAGTCGTGTATTTTATGAAAAAAAAATCGGTTGTCTGTAAAGTCGGTTTACTGACGATAGTTGAGTAGTGACAACGTCATAAGACTGATGGAATGGTTGCATTTTTCAATGGAAAATTCTAATTTTATTTGTTTGATAGATATTTTATATGGATATAGAGAAGGACGTAAATGGAAATCACAATGGAATTGATCAAGTTACATTTATTTGTACGCATAAATACAATTATGTAAATTTTTTAACGAACGAACGCTGCCGAACGCGGAGGCCGATTGTGCCTCTTTGTCGCACGTTCCGCGCTCTCGCTTGCACTTCAAGCCTTAAATGGAACTCCTCAGAGCGAGGTAACGCCGTAAGCGTCATGTTTTTCCATGCGTACAGCCGGCTCCATCGAATTATAAGACGTTGTCACGTCAAAAAAGCTTGTATATATGATGCATGATAAGATTCCATCCTATCAATATTTATCTACCTCGATTTACCGTTAAAATATTAGTTCTGAACTACTTCTATTAAATACGTTGTACTTTTTTATATAAACGGCTCATATATAAGAATATTTCCTCCAACTCTGATTTTGTTCCCTTTGGAGTTTAGACTCATGGGCCGTGGGGTTCAAGTGAACAGGCGCTTATTAAAGTTGGCACCTGGTACAGATGACCCCCGAGCTGGTGCTTTCCCCGCTCAACGAATAAGTATCGCAATACAACAAGGAAATGCTGCCGTCATTAAAGATACACTGCCACAGGGACCAACTTTTTTTATTTGTTTTAATTTTCAATTTAACAAATTTTGATCATTATTATTACTATGTAGGTTAAGAATACTGTAAATACTGTATATGTGTGTGTTGGAAATAAATTATAATACTTTGTTCCATGTAAAGGTATAATCGCCTCAGAAGACGCCGGAATCATTTAACTAGTACTGTATACATACCCTGCACAAAGCGACGCCAGTGTCCAATCTATCGAGAAAATTGTCAGCATTGATCCTCAGTTCAGGGTACAGGACTGTCAGCCACTCAGCCAGGTCCTCTTTCATGGCATACAAGTACTCCTCAGAGGACTTAAAGGGCCTAAAAGGCCTGGATTCCAGGAGAACTGCACCTACGGCCGCCATCTTGATTTCGGTTACTCAGTGGACATTACTGGTTCTGAAATAGGAAAATTTTATATTATTATTTGTGGTTTTCAAATAACAGTTGGGAATTCCGAGAATAATGTATGATTTCGTTTATATGTTCTATTTATACTTATATTATAGAGAGGAGGATTTAAAGAATATAGAAGGAAGATAGAAGAACTAAACTGAGAAACTACTGGTCTGATTTTAGCCTATCATTAGAATACTCCATTAACCCTAGTCACAGTCCTAATTTATTTTAAAAATAGTTACTGTATAGCCTTCGAAGTCGTCAAAGCTAAGACAAGGCGTTATCTAAAAGTAAGGTAATCAATATATCAGAATTTTTAAACAAAAAAATTGTTGTTAGTAATTTAACTAAATTAAGCCCACTGACAATTGCGTCTGTGAAAACGCTAATCTTATTCCATATATAGAACTTATACAAATAAAAAAAAACGTGTGGCACTCGGGGACTGCCGCGGTTATAATTATTTATTTATTTATTATTTATCAGCATTTGTTTTTCTTGGAAATTAATTCAAGTTTTTTCTTTGATATTATTTCAATCTACCACTCTACCAGACTCAGACTATAACGCCTATATAGTCTGTCTAACCGCGCTAACGTCTCGTCAGAGAGATGGGAATGCGCAGTATGCGTTCTGTCCCACTCTAACGCGTATTTGCCGCACCTATATTACGTCATCGTGTGTTAGGTTTTTTCGTTACGGAATTTCTTGATTCGGTCGCCGCGCTCAAAGCCCGCGATAAAATCTATGCAATAGCTTAATAAGGGCTTGGTTCATTTGTAGGTATAATATGAAGGTTTAATTCGTAAGTACAGATCGAACCTTTGTGAGTCTAGGACCGTAACTTATCACATAATACCTCTCATTAATATTAATTATACGATACGCGATACTAAATGCCAAGAACACAAATGTCTATGGTATTGAATCTGTCATAATCAAATCAATTGAGATGTCGGGGGTTAATTGTAACAACCTTGGGCCCATTATTTAAACTATTACTAATAATTGTATATTCGCCTATGCCTGGTGGACCCATGTGAGTTGTGACTTCTTCAATACAAAGAGTCCCCTCGTGAGTTGTTACATTTACAGTTACATTTTCACACGTGTATATCCTTTCTATAACATATTTTCATAAGTATCTGATTGTCCTCATTTTAACATGTGTGATGTGTGAGCAAAAATAAAAAATAATCTACAGACTAGACACACGCAAAATGTTTATAATGACCGTAACAGTAAAAGTAATGACAGCAGACGTCTTACTAAATCCGCAATACTCAGAGACGTTCATTTGTTAACGGAAACTTATTAATTTAAACGGACGTACTGCCTGTTGGTAAATAACTAATCGGGCGTAAAACTTTGTTCCTAATTATATTACCTACCTAATTATATATAATTATTAATGTATGTACAAGACCTCTAAGCACGATGGTATGCTATTTTTTAATATAGTCATAATGTTTACCAAAACAAATCGCTAGAGGTCGTCGCTCGTCACGCTCAAAAGTTTCCAATTCGTGACGAATTCTTGCGGTTGAGATAAATTCGCATTGATCAGAAACATTTAAAATAATTAAAAAATTGTATTGCCTAATAATTGATCTTTTTCAACTTGCCGCTAGCAAGAAATATTTTTATGTATTTTATTTTTCTAATAGTTTTAATTACAACCAGCCTGAAACAGTCGTGATATATAGTTAACACTTGTAACATTGTTAGTCACGTTTAACTCATAATCGACTTCTTATTAGTACTTGACACTTTAGGGGCAGTTTCGTTTTTCTCATTACTCTAGGGTCCAGATCTTTGATTCCCAAAATATTATTTAATTAGTTCATATAATCCCTTGTCTCACGCATAAGTTAGTTAGAAGCAAAAACGTTAGTAGAGAGCAATATAATTAAATATAAATAAAAGATCCACAGTTCGCGTCATTAAGTAAAAACAATTGAATTCTTAAAACATTATACACACGCACTAAACCCATTAAATATATTACATACAAGGAAAGCCATTCATAAAACTATAATGGATTATTGAGCCAATGAAAGTTGATTACATGACATATCGCTTCACTAAACATTAATCGTGCGTCAATAGTTTAATTCTTTTTGAATTTGAAACTAGAATTCACCACGCTCACGATAAAAACTTTTTTTAGTTCAGTATGTTAATTGGCAAACTTTGGGATTTCTTTACGATGTAACCTCTTATATTCCCGAGACGTAGCGCTCCAAAAACGTACTGACAAAGTACTCAGAATCTTACCCTAAAAGGTATTATTTATTTGTATAAAACTTCTTAATGCCTCAATAATAATAATCCAGTGGCGCTACACAAATGGGCCTGGGCCTCAGATTGCATTCAATCTTTCTTTGACCATTTTTATTTCATAGACACGAACGATGTATGATAGGCAAGAAAAGAATACATCATTAAGAGGAACAACTAAGGCAGTCTATGTTTCAATACAAATACATAAACTTAAGTGGAAATGGGCGGGGCACCTGGAAAGAGGTACAGAAATGTGGAGCAAGAAAGTACTAAACTGGTGCCCAAGGTACAATAAAAGAAAAAGAGGGAGACAATTTAGAAGGTGGAAGGACAAAATTAAGGAAACAGCAGGTGGTACGTGGCAGAGAGTGGCACAGTACAGACAGCTATGGCGGGATTTGGAAGGCACACATCTGTGTGTAAACCATACCAAACAACCTAAACATATAAATGTGTCTAAGTGTAAAAGTATCTGAAATAATAACATATTATTATTATTTCATCGACAAGTAGGTGATCAGCTTTGTGATTGACACAATATGTCTTCGATTTTTGGATTTGAGACATGCCGGTCTCACGATGGTTTCCTTTACTGTACGAACGAGTCTTAGATACGCACATAGATAGAAAGTCCATTGGTGCAAGGGATAAGAGTCTGATAACACTAGACCAACACAACTGTCTTGATTCATTGATTCTGTTGATTGATTCTGTTCTTGATCAACGCAAAGCCTAAACATAGGATGTAACTTAAAAATTTAGACAATTTAAGACGGAAATATATAATGTATTGGTAATTCCACCAAAAAGAATTATTTATTTCGTTTATCAGAAAATGTTTGACATCAAGACTTAATCTAATTATTAAAAGTATATAACAATAGAAATGTAAATGCAAAATAATAATTAATTTATAATTTAATTAGACAAGGTCAGTGCATTGCGATTTCGTTGAAATATTTCAACATTCAGTTACCAATAGTTCAAGTACGTTTAAATTATTTGAATATTATTATGCCTGTTAATTATTTTTTGATTAGATTACAAAACTATTTAAGCTTTGAACGGCCGATGAAAAATCTATACACACATCTTTATATATTGAGCAAAGTTTTGCATTGAACGAATGAAGAAATAAAATTTACATCTCATTCAACAGTCTTATAAAAATTGTTTATACATAAGCATTTATTTAAAATTATTATTTAAATTCTTAGTCACCAATTAATGAAATAATTGTTTTAGTTTGTTTACTTTCTTGCTCATATAAATCCTGGTCCTGGAAAAACAAACTAAATAAGCGTTATATTAAAGGCATTGGTTCACTCGCAATTTGCCTTTGTAAACTTTTGAAATTGTTTAAAAATTGAGAAAAATATATAACAATTGTGAATTTTTAAAGTAAATTTTATGGGTTGGAGTCAATAAGCAGCGGCCACTATATTTTCTCCTATGTTGCCCTCTCTTGTCTCTGTTCTTCACTCAGAAAAAAAAATTGTTCTTCCTCTTTTCCCGAGCACTGGGAACTTATTTAATATCTTTCTTAAACAATTTGATGTTACGTAATATTATTTATAGAAATATTAGTACTACGATGTGATGTGTAATTATTTCTCTGATTTTCTGAAGGCTCCGGATGACTAGGTGCCTATATATGGTTTAGTCCAGAGAATCGTGACGCCATTAATTGAGGAAAATATATTCATACAATTCCATAACCTTGATGCAAGATACTATATTATTAATAAAACAGTTCTTAAAACCTATGTGTAATGAAATTAAGCCTGAAGATATTTATTATGACATGTATGCTCTATAGGAATAAATTTAAAAATTCAGACTGTACTGACAGAATTTTAAATTCTTAGATTTTGTAAATTTATTATTTTTATGTATTATAGAACCAGCATTCTAGTGATTTATGTCTCTTAACATTAGCTTTTAGTTTTAACTTAATTTATTTTATTTTGATTTTGTAATTGTATAAGTCTACATCAGTAAGTAAAAAAAATATGTTTTTTTTATCTGAATCAGTGTCTCTGTATGTCAGTATGTGTCAAATATGTAATGCAACAAAGTTTTAATAAATCAGAAGAAAGTAAACCCTCCGCAAAGATAGTATTCCCTTAAGTGCTAAACAGCGGTAAGTGTAAACAGAACACAAGAGCAAAATCTCCCCCTTAATAGAGACTGTTCTGTGACACTTATGTTACGTATCCTAAAAAGTAAATTAGTTAAGACTTATTTAAAAGTCTTAAGTTAAGCTAGATCGTAATGTTCCATGATGTCTCAGTGAAGACACATTTATTTAAAAAAATACATGTTCGAGTTTTTTTTCAACTGGTACATAGTAAATTAAAGAAAACAGATGTAGCGAATGTGGTGTGCCATCAGGAGACAAAAGGCAAGTAAGCCGTCGCTTGCGTAACGTGGTGACTTCCGTCGGGTACCGTCAACAAACAAATTCTTTCGTCGTTTATTTTTTAAGTACATCCTGTTTAAATAGCAATATACAGCTAATACAGTGCTTTGTTATTCACCTTAACTAATATACCTTGAATAATTTATTTATTTGTTACGGTGTTGAAACCATAAGTAAAAAAATAGTATATCAAAATATTTACTCCCGCAACCCTGTGAAGATCTCACAACAGTACTGTAGATAGGGGCAGTGCATCCTACT